TCTATTATTTTTAGCCCCCGGGCCCAGGCACAGAAGCAAGATTCATGGTCTTGTGAAAGGCCAGCACAATGGGGGATGACTTAATCTCAGGCAAGATAATGTTTCACAACCATGGCGGAGAAGGCCCCCAACATTCCTTAGCAGACAGTTCCTGGAGCATGCCCTTCCTATCAGACTAGATGGGACGGGTAGAAACAACTGGTATTAAGTTATCTTTTATTATTGAATCTGTTGTTCTGTACTTCCTTTTGATCCTTTTTCCTCCACACATCACTAAAGCAGACACGAGAAAATGCACAATATAAAAAAGATGTTGAGACTCTAGAAAGAGTACAGAGAAGAGCAACAAAGATGATTAGGGGACTGGAAGCTAAAACATATGAAGAACAGTTGCTAGAATTGAGTATGTTGAGTTTAATGAAGAGAAAGACTAGGGGTGACATGATAGTAGTGTTCCGATATCTCAGGGGTTGCCATGAAGAAGAGGAAGTCCAAGCTATTCTCCAAAGCACCTGAAGGTGGAAAAAGAAGCAATGGGTGGAATCTAATCAAGGAAAGAAGCAACCTAAAACTAAGAAGAGATTTCCTGCCAGTTAGAACCAATCAATCAGTTGAACAGCTTGCTTCCAGAAGTTGGGTACTCCAACACTGGAATTTTTAAAGAAGAAATTGGACAACCATTTATCTGAAATAGTATAGGGTTTCCTGGACTAGAAGACCTCCAAGGACCCTTTCAACTCTGTTGTTGTTGTTGTTGTTATCATTATTATTAAAAAAAGACAATAATCTAATGATATGTGGAAAGACTATGAGAGACTGGGGAAGAGATATTGCCTAGGGAGCAGTCAGATAAGAGACAACATAGCCTACAGTTGGATATTGGGTGGGGCAAGGAGCTCAGAAGGGACTCTCCCTAGTTTCTAAGGCTATACAGTGGACAGTAGGAGATTTGTACTTTCAGATTTGCAAGATTCTGTTAATGTAGCTTTACAAAAAAGTAGAATTATTTTTTATTTTATTTTTTTTATTTGATTTATATGCCGCCCTTCTCCGGAGACTCAGGGCGGCTTACAATGCGTTAAGCAATAGCCTTCATACTTTTGTATATTTTTACAAAATCAGCTTATTGCCCCCACAAACTGGGTCCTCAATTTACCTACCTTAGAAAGGATGGAAGGCTGAGTCAACCTTGAGCCTGGCAAGATTCGAACTTACTAATTGCAGACAGCTGGAATTAAATTACAATGCATTAGTCTGCTGAGCTATCCAGGCTCCTAATTAACATATCTGTTTGCACTTCCTTTGTTTCCATGGCTACCATGTTGCCTAACCTTAGGCTTTATCTCACCTACACTTGTCTACAACTTTGGGCAAACACACACGATTCATAAACTTCTAAACTACATAACTACACAAACTCCTGTCAAAGGGTGTGATGTTACATTTTGAATTCTCTAATTAATGTAGGATGTTCCCCATATCCCTAGACTCATTTTTGTTTGCTTTGTTCCATCCTGTTATTTGGAATGGAAACAAAAATGAGCAGGATCAGAATGACTACTGAAAGGGAAAGAGAAAAATCTCAGTCTTATTATTAATAAGACAAAGCGAATGCTACCTAGCAATGTTAGTGAATTCACTGTTAATTGCTAAGAAGCTACGGTGATAGATAGCTGATGTCTTGAGCTGGGCTCAAGAACAAATAAATATCTATGCTGGCAAAATAAAGAGGACTCTCCCTAATCCTAGAAGACAGCTTTACAAAAAAACAGATTCGTAAATAAGGTACAGTATTTCTCTGCCAGCAAAGATCAGAGTAGTTAAGACACAGTACAGGCTCTGATATTGTAAAGTCAATATCACCATCTTTTTAAAGAAGACCTATAAAGCTTGATTTTGTGAAAAGCAAAAGAGAGAAAGATTTGGACATGGAGAGAATTGCAGTGTTTTTATCAGTGGTGAAATGTAAAATTTGTTACTGTGGGGCGTGGCTTGGTGGTGGGGTAATATGACTGGGTGGGCGTGGCCAACTTTTTTTTTTTACTTTTAAAAGCATTTTTTTTTCTACAACCTCTTCAGCTGAAGAGGTTGCAGAAAAAAATGCTTTCAAAAGCCTCTGACGATCCCAGCTGAGCCGTGCAATCATCAGAGGCTTTTTTTTTTACTTTTAAAAGCATTTTTTCTACAACCTCTTTGGCCGAAGAGGTTGTTTTAAAAAATGCTTTTAAAAGCCTCTGGATGATCAGGCAACTCAGCTGGGAGGGTCAGAGGCTTTAAAAGCATTTTTTTCTACAACCTGTTCGGCCAAAGAGGTTGCAGAAAAAATGCTTTTAAAAGCCTCTGACCATCCCCTGACCATTTTAAAAACCTTTAAAATGCTTTTAAAGGTTTTTTGAAAAAAGCCTCTGATGATCGCGCGGCTCAGCTGGGCATGATGGGGGGCAGGGATTTTTGCTAACGGTTCTCCGAACCACCCGCAGCCATTGCTACCAGATCAGCATTTCACCCCTGGTTTTTATGTCTCGGTGGGATATATATTTTAAAGCCAGTGTCAAGTTTTTCTAAATCTGTAATTTACCTATATCTGAGCTAATGAATAGATGAAAAATTTCCAAAAAAAATCATGATAGACAATTCATGATATAGATACCATAAAAAGATAGATGATAGATAGATAGATAGATAGATAGATAGATAGATAGATAGATAATCCTTTGTTAAAGTATCAGCATGTCTATGCAGCCAGAAAGTGACAAGAGGAGGAATATATATGCAAGTCATTATGCTGACTTCAGGATGCCAACCATAGGTATTTGATATAGGTATCAAATTGTCTTCTTTTAGATTAAAGGTACATATTTGAGCTTACAGGGGCCAAAGACTGAGGTAGAGCCCCAAGCTCTTATAAATACATTTTTCTTTCTTGGTGAGTAGCAGAAGCAAAGCTCCTAGTAGAAGTGAAGTTTTGTGATCCTCACAAAGTTCCTCACCCCAACCACACTGATACCAACTAAGTTAAAGAGTATTTTAATCAGAACCGAAAAAAAGGAAGAAAAGGTTAATCCTTATGCCCCTTCCACATTAGATAGATAAAGATGGCAGCTGAAGCAGGATTGTTCTTGGGATGAAAACAAAATGATAAAATAAAAAATAAGAAAATAAAATAAAAATAAAATAAAATAAAATATAAAATGCAATGAAATGATCGGAATAATTTTCTCTGCTATTGCAATGGGGTTTATGGTGTATCTGGACTCTAAAGGCACTTGAAATGAGGATTTTGCTGTTGAGAAATTTCAAAAAGTATTTTGTAATTCTTCTTTGCACCCACCCTATCCGCTCCTCAAAATTTAAAAAAAAAGGAAAGGAAAGGGAGGGAAAAAAATAATTCTTACTCATCTCCTTTTAGATCATTACAATTTCTGTAGAATCTATCAACACACATCATAGCCAATTCGATTAAATAATCTTTCCCAGAAACAGCTTTCTTTCTTCCTTTCTTTTTTCGCAAATGAGAATGGTGCCTGTTTTGTTGATACTGTAAAGACTAATTTGGCTAAAAGCATGGAATATTTCTGAGTTATTTCTGTGTTTATCCAAACTAACAGCATCAGCAGTAGAACGCAAGGAATAATTTGCTGAGGCGGTAGAAAAATTGAATACTGTAAGAGAAGCCAGAGAACTACATATTAAGGATATAGGATTGCTACTATAATGGAGTTGACCCCTTAGGAGTGACTGTGAAAGAAAACCAAATAATTGTAATTACTTTTGTCACTGCTAAAATATGGCAAGTTTTATTATTTAAGACATTTTAGTTGAGTAAGTTCCCCCTGCCCCCATAAAGTTCTAACATATTGGCATAGCACATTTAAAAAAAATACCTACATCACTTTTGAAGAAATACCTGTTTTAAATATGCTCGTTGAGCTGTAAATTTTTCAAAATTAAATGGTATTATGACATAAATGCTTAGGTTTATGGCCCTACAAACATCTTAATCATATTTCAAATTAATTATACGTCTTATATCATGTTAGGAATCCAATGCACCTTTGGGCACAGAGCAATTATTTATCTGCTATACTTTGACTTTTATTCCTACACTGGAAATAAGATTCAGCTGGCTGTAACTATTTAAAAGGTCCAGGATATGATCACATTTTCGGCTAATGTTTATTGGCCAAGTTGGAGTAAAAACTTTATCACTTTGGAATTCTGATTTGCAACAGAATTCTCCAGAAAAGTTGTTATACCCACTACATGGTACATGAGCTCTGTTAATATTCGTCACCAAAATGTGCATGAAAAGGAAAAACAAGATCATTCTGGAGATATATCTCCATACCATGATAGCCCACTAGTCATGGTCCATAGCCATGCATCATTGTTCTGACCTAGCTCCCCAAACACGACAAACCCTCTGACGTGAACTCAAAAGATTCCTTTATTAGGAATGCTGGAAGCCCCGGCCAAAAGTTTATCTCGCAGGCTAACAAGTCCATCCATCCAGAAGATGAATAGTTGTCTGCCACACCTATTCATTTTGGCCCCCTGCCTTTTATCCCCAGAGTTAGGGTGGAGCCTCATTAGCAGCAGTTACTCTTCCTTCCCCAGGATCAGCCCAAAGATTTCCACTGCTCTCCTCTCCTCTGCCTTCTGCGCAGCCACGCGTCAGGCACTGGACCCAGCTGTTCCTCTTCTTCTTCATCAGCTACCTTGAGACCTGGGGGCTGTTGACTCTCCATCTGAGGGCTGACGGACAGCCCAGGCTCCGCCTCTGTCTCTCTCTCTGTCTGCCAGTTCCATTTCTTCTTCCCCCTCGGAGCTCCCAGGTTGCCTTGATACTGACCCTGACTCCCACGCCTCCACCTCCTCTGATTCGGCTGCTGGAGGGGCCAGCGACAGGCCACAACAATCATGTACAGATGGTCTTCAACTTACAACAGTCCATTCAGTGACTGTTCAAAGTTACAATGGCACTGAAAAAAGTGACTTACCACTATTGCAGCATCCCCCATGGTCACATGATCAAAATTCAGATGCTTGGCCACTGACTCATATTTATGATGGTTGCAGTGTCCTGGGGTCATGTGATCACCTTTTGTGACCTTCTGACAAGCTAAGCCAATGGGGGAACCAGATTCATTTAACAACTATGTTACTAACTCAACAACTGTAGTGATCCACTTAACAACTATGGCAAGAAGGGTCATAAAGTGGGGCAAAACTTAAGAAATGTTTTGCTTAGCAACAGAAATTTTGGGCTCAATTGTGGTCATTAGCTGAGAACTATCCATGTCAGTAGAATGGGAATCCTGTATCTGAAATCAGTTATTCTGTGGCTGATGCCACAGCACTGATGATGTTACCTTGTTACCTTATGAATCGTCTGCAATGAAGCAACCAAGCTCATAGAGCCCCAAGGAATCCTTTGTTGTTGTTGTTAGTTGCGAAGTCATGTCCGACCCATCGCGACCCCATGGACAACATTCCTCCAGGCCTTCCTGTCCTCTACCATCCTCTGGAGCCCATTTAAGCTCACGACGACTGCTTCAGTGACTCTATCCAGCCACCTCATTCTCTGTCGTCCCCTTCTTCTTTTGCCCTCAATCTTTCCCAGCATTAGGCTCTTCTCCAGTAAGTCCTTCCTTCTCATTAGGTGGCCAAAGTATTTCAGTTTCATCTTCAGGATCTGGCATTCTAAAGAGCAGGAATCCTTAGCTACACATATTTTCTTCTATTGGTATCTGCCAGTAGAAGAAATAATACAATAATAATTGTAATAGAATACTGTATTACAAACTAAGATGGATCCTAAATCTTAATTAAAAGTGAGGATATGCAGAAAATGGAAAATATGTCTTGTTTCAAAAGAAAACATGACATAACCATGTTGAACTATTTTGGATTGCCCACAATTTAGGAGAAATCAAACCCAGAATTTTTGGTGGTTTTAAATGTGGCTGAAAAAAATATCCAGAGGGATCCCAGAAAGATATTTGAGTGAATAGAGAAAGGCTGAATCCCATCTCCATTCTTTCTCCCCTACCCTAAAGTCTTCTAACACTTTTATTTTCCTTTCTTCGTCAGTTATCACTGCCACCTTCAATGTTTACATGCACCACTGGCAAAGAAACCCCCCAGCCTTAGCTTTTTCCTAGCCTAGTCTTCTCCGAACTCTTTTTTAAAAATATATCTTTATTGAAACATTTTTGAAAGAAGATAAAAATGAACACTGTACAAACTAATATAAAGTAAGAAAGAAATCAATAAAAAAGCAAAAATTGCGAGAGAAAAAAAGTTAGAATAGTAAGAAAAAAGTTAGAAAGAAGTAGCTTTTGATATAAAGTATACTTTTTTTGGTCTTCTCTAATCAGTACTTTCCAGGGGGTGGGGTGGGGAGTCTTATTTTATTCTATATATGACTAAAAATTCTGAAGCACATCCTTTAGTTCAGGCATAGAACACGCAAAACCAGTTGTTGTGATTAGAATGTTTTGCACATTCCTAATTAAATGTGTTCACCACTCTCCACCTTGCCAATTTCTTTTTTTAAAAAATACACTATCTATGAAAACTAATAAACTGCCTTGTTCTTATGATCTACTTTATTGTTTCATGCGTTGATGAAGGTTTTTGCAATTGTGCTGTAAGCTGGTTCACGGATTGGGGTCCACAAAGAACAGCAATTAATTGTGGTGGTTATTTTGTATTTTTAAAAACATTGATTCTTAGACATTCCTTTTATAATGATGGTAACACATCCTTTTTATTATTTTTCAAAATAAATTGCTAACAGCTGAGACCTTAGGTTGTTACTTTCCTTTGTGTTGCAGAAAGAATAATGGAGAATTTTGACAGGACTGCCACGTTGATTCTTAGGATAAGTATAGGATTTTTTTCTAGTGAAATAAGATACTGTAAATAAATGTGGTAGCATTTAAAGAGCTACAAGATTCTGGGCATGTTTGCTAACACAAACTCAAACAACTAGTAATTCTATCTTACCTTCACTTCTTCAGCTGCTGGAGATACATTTGGTGGGAGAGTGAGATCACACCGTTTTGGCAAATGCTCCCAAACTTTGGGAATTTTCCTCCAAGGGAAATTGTATTTATTTATTTGTATCCTCCCTTTATTGTTTTTGTAAATAACTCAAGGAAGCAAACATATGAAACACAGACTTCCTCCTCTTTTTTTCCTCACAACAGTAACCCTTTGCGGGTGGGTTGGGCTGAGAGACAGAGTGACTGGCCCAAAATCATCCAGCTGGCTTTCACAGCTAAGGAGGGACTTGAACTCACATCTCCTGCTTTCTAGCATGATGCCTTATAACCAGAGGTGGTATTCAGCAGGTTCTGACCAGTTCTGGAGAACCGGTAGCGGAAATTTTGAGTAGTTCGGAGAACCGGTAAATACCACCTCTGACTGGCTCCGCCCCTATCTATTCTCTGCCTCCTGAGTCCTAGCTGATTGGAAGGAAATGGGGATTTTGCAGTAACCTTCCCCTGGAGTGGGGAGGGAATTGAAATTTTATAGTATCCTTTCCCTGCCATGCCCACCAAGCCACGCTCACCAAGCCATGCCACGCCTACCAAGCCACACCTACAGAACCGGTAGTAAATTTTTTTGAATCCCACCACTGCTTATAACCACTGGACCAAACTGAAATCACATGATTCCCACTCTATTATCTTTCCACTAACAAACAAACATTTTTTTTCTTGGCACGTCTTTGTTGTCTGGCTGCTCAACTGACTGGTGGATTGAAATACTAATTATCTTTTTTTATCTGATTAGTTAGTTTATATTTCCAGTGCATTGAAAGTCATTCCTTGTAAAATGGCCGTGTAGGAATCAATCAAAAAAAAAAAAAGCAAAGGAGTGGTAATATTTTATTTTCTTCAAAGGTCATGTTGGAATTTTCTAAAAATGTGGCTCATCCTAACCACTCTACCCACAAATGATAATTATGTTTGTCGTAAATTTTCTCAGAGTTAACTGGTATGTTTGTAGTTTGGATTGGTTTCATAAGTCCTAGGCCAAGTCAAAACACAGTGTTATCACAGCCTCGGTTTCTGCATAAATAAGGGCATTCAATGATTCAGTTCTGTATGTATTGAATAGTAATCACCTTATTAGAAATTAGGCTAGTGCTAACATTACAAGAGAAACAAATCAGAAGTGCTTCAAGAACCGTTGCTTGTTTATTTATTTATTTATATCACTACCTATCTCAAATAAGGGACTCCGAGCAACTTACATAATTAAAAAGCAATACCACTTAAACATAAAACCAGAATAAAAACCGTTAAAACCATTTGAAACGGGCAATTAAAACACTAAAACTAATTTAAGGAGAATACAACAAATTACTAACAATGCAACCAACCAGCAGGGTCTGTAACACCATTGGACCCTCCGGGCATTATGATACAACTATGTCTTAAGAACATTCTAGAAAATCAGCAGGCTTGGAACTAGCGTAACCTCAGGGCAGGGGAGGAATGATAAACTCAAGGGTGGGTGCCAAAGCAGAAAAAGTTCTCCTCCTGGGTTGCATCAGATGACATTAATGGTGGACCCTTAACATGCCTCTCCTGATGGTTGCCCCAAAGTTCACAGTAATAGCATATATTTAGAAAAGATTCTGGGTTATCCCACATAGCACCAGACAGCATGGGTTAAATGTTCAATATGCAACATGGAGACTGACTCCTAACCAGCATCAATATTTGAAAGAGTGGGTTGTCATGTTGTCTTCGTAGGGTTTCCTGCTTAAGCAGGGGGTTGGACTATAAGACCTCCAAGGTCCCTTTCAACTCTGTTATTCTATTCTATTCTATTCTATTCTATTCTATTCTATTCTATTCTATTCCATTCCATTCCATTCCATTCCATTCCATTCCATTCTATTCTAAATAGGCTGCTGGTGGATGTAGTTTAAACTTCACCAATGCATATTATATTATTAGGTGGTTTATTCTCTTTAGCATCTCAGAAGAAGTAATGAGTGGAAGCTCATCAGGGGATGATCCAACCTGGAAGTAAGGAGGAATTTCCTGACAGTGAGAAAGATTAATCACTGGAACAGCTTATTCCACAGAGTTGTGGATGTTTTATTGCTGGAAGTTTTCAAGAAAAAGATTGGACAACCATTTGTTGGACAGGAAGACTTCTAAGATCCTTTCCAGCCCTATAATTCTATGACATTTGTTGATTTGGTTGCATGGTCAGCCAAATTTTCAGACTGGATTTAACAGTTTTATTTGAGTAGCGAGTCCTTCCCAAGAACCTGGGGAAGGCAGAAGTTGTTTCAGTTCATTTAACTTAGATAAGATCATGAACAAGAAGGGCAATTCTAAAAAAATCAGAGGCCAGAATGTCTATGGAGATTCTCAGTCATCCAGGTCGTGGATGAGAAGCAAACCGTCTTCAAAGAAAAACTAGAAAGTCCAGTTGCCTCTTGAAAAAACACCTCTGGGACAGAGGCCAGAATGGTTTAAGACAAAGTCTTAGGGGTTTTTTTGTTTTTTGTTTTTATTTGATTTATATGCCGCCCTTCTCCGGAGACTCAGGGTGGCTTACAATGTGTTAAGCAATAGCCTTCATTCTTTTGTATATTTTATACAAAGTCAGATTATTGCCCCCACAAACTGGGTCCTCATTTCACCTACCTTAGAAAGGATGGAAGGCTGAGTCAACCTTGAGCCTTGGAGAGATTCGAACCAGCAGAAATTGCAGGCAGCTGTGTTAATAACAGGGTGCATTAAACCACTGTACTATCAAGGCCACTGTCACTAAGCAAAACAAAACATCATGGCCACAAGATGCAATCAGATGATAAACAGGAAATAAAGTGATTAAGTTAGACAAGCTTAAAGGTAGTGGTAATAGAAGACAAAGATAAAGTGGATTAAAGAGATTACACAAATGTCCCTGTAATGAAAAGCTTGCCTTAGTACTAAAGCAGATCGAGTACTAACTAACACATGCGTATGTGCCTCCCACCGGCCAGCTGGTCTTCAGGTCTCTGCCATGCATGTGTGAGG